GGTAATACCTGATAGAAGTGCCCCAATGTTAGTTCAGTTGAAAAAAAACTAAATAATTAATTAAAGAAAAAAACAAACAACTGGTGCACAGCAGTTGGTTAGCTGAGGGGAGGATATTATGCTTTATAGTGCCAAAATTCTAGTTTAGATAACTGAGACCTGAATCTTTGCATTCCATCCATTCCATCAGTGATTTGGTCTTTTAAAATAGATAGAAAAACCTGGGGAATGCTATTTTAAAAATTAGTCTACATTTTTGAGTAATTCGATTGTTCCAAATTCTGCTGAAAGATGATTTATATTTTGCAAAAACTTAGCATTGTGTTATGGCTTTGTTTTCCCTGTTGTTTCACATTTTGCTATTTTTAAACCTTCACTTTTGCATATGTTATGGATCATAGCCAAGGAGTTGCCTCCTGTTGAAATAACAAGGAAAAGAGGTTCACAGTTGCTTGCCTAATAAAGGACATGGTTACATCTGAGTTGGTTTTACAGTAACATTCTCACTACCTCTGCTGTACTTAGTGTCAGTGTACTTAGTTTCATTACATTTTAATTGATAGCAATGTGATAATAGCCTACATGAAATTTCGAACTTTGGAAGACTTTGTTGCAGTGATTCTCAAACTAGCCACACATTGGAATCACTGGGATGTGGCTTAAGAAAAATGCTGATGCTTGATCTCACCCATCACTCACAGATTATGACTCAGTGGACCTAGGGTACAATATTGGTTGTTGGGATGTTTTAAAACTTCCAGATGATTCTATTGGGCAGATAGAGAGGTACAATCTGGTTTGGAAGAAATCATCCTAAAAGCTAAGCAGGGGTAATTTTTTAAAACAAATTAAAAAATAAATCTTTAATCAAAAATTTGAAAAATGATCAAACTGAAACTAACTCTCATTAATAAAGTCTGAGCATTAGGTTACTTCTAGACGGTGGTGTCCTGGTGTTTAATATCATCTCCTGAGGAAAGTCTTGATTTGTTGTGTTTGCCTATCTCTCTTGTGTAAGTACTATCATAAATGTTATCAAGCTACCAATGGTTTAACAAATAGCTTGACAAATTCCTGAAAATCTAACAGTCAGCTCTTATGACATAACCTGAGCCAGCTCCGGGACACCTGGTTCTAGGAGGACTGCTTTGGATATGCCAATCACTTATCTAATAGATATAAGATATGTTACTTCTCCTTTGGGATTTCAATTACTTATAAACATCGATAATAAATGATCATCAATAATCATTAAATTATTGATAATCATCAATTGCCATTTTAAAAGTTGCTTAAGTTGGAGAAGTTATATAACAATGTTTGTTTGCTTTTCTATGGATTCATCTTTAATAGGTTTCTTGATTGTTTTTACTTTGTGTAGGTAATATTCTTAATAAATTGGGGCAGTTGGAATGTAAATCAGCATCAACTGCCCTGAGATGTGAAATTCTATTCTTTTTGAAATATAACAAAATGAATGATTTGAATATCATGGATGTTACTAGCTACATAAGATCGTAAGATACTTTCATGATTGTTTTCCTGTGTCAAATACCAGTCTAAGCATTTTGCATATTTTAAATTATTTATTCCTCAAGAGTCTTTGAGTAATGGCTATTATTATCCCCATTTTTGCAGAAGAAGGAACTGAGGGACAGAGAGGTTAAGTAATTTCCCCAAGGACATACAGTTAGTAAGTAGCAAAGTGGAATTTGAAGTAGGCAGTCTGTCCTCCCATTTTATATCACAGGGAACTAGAGAATCAGAATTTTTTCTAAGACTATTTTTGAATATTGTAGAACTCAAATTCCCTCTTTTTGGTTGTTTAAACTTTTTTTTTCAAACTAGCAAAATGTATCACTTGTGGAAATGATTGTCTTCCTCATTATCAGTGTAATTCCTTTTTTCCTGTTATGAAAACAAAAGTATGCACGATTTTTATAGAGCAATTATATTTATTGTAGAATACATTTTTATTGCAAATCATATTACTACAAACTTCTGAAAATAGCACTACAGTTTTTAAACTCCCTTTTTTAATGGATTGATTTGTCTAGAGCCAAAAATTAATAAAAAACATACCTCAGTTATGATGGCTTCCAGATATGTGTTGACTGAATGCCCAGAGGCCAAGAACTTGCCAAAAAAAATTTTCTTTGGGAATGATTTCAAACTTGCTGAAAAGCTTCAAGAATCAGACTAATTCAAAGACACATACAATTTTTATTCAGGTTGGTGTGTTAAATTTTATCCCATTTACTTTATCAATTGTTTTTTTTTTCTGTATGTAACATTTGTCTACACACAAATCCTTTTTTTAATTTTTTTTTTGAGAGTAAGTTGTATACATAATGGTCCATTACCCCAAGATACTTTATTGTGCATTTCCCAAGAATAGGGATATTTTCTTCCATCATTGCAATACCTGTCTATTTATTGCCTATATTTCAATTTGTCAATTGACCCAGATTAGTTCTTCGGAGATTTACTTTACTTCTAGTACACCATGCAATCTGGGCTCATGTACTATACTTAACTGTCAGGTATGTGTAGTATAAATTAATCTGTAATATTTCCATAGAGCCCTTCTTTGTCTTCTATGATCTTGACATTTTTGAAGAATTCAATCAATAGCCTCCTCCCCTTTTTTATATAACATTCCTCATTTGGAATTTATTTGACATTTCTGTCTGATTAGTTCCAGATATGGATTCCAGAACAAAATACTAGATAAGTAACACTTCTTCTACTCAGGATGTTCCATTCGAAGGCATATATTGTGTGTTGATGAATGGCATTGGCAAAGTTAATTTTGATTAATCTTGTCAAGTGGTTGTCCAGTTCTTCCACTGGATCATTGCTATGTTTTCCCTTGTAACTAATAAGAAATCTTATTCTACATCCAATCAAAATTTTCCTCTATCTTTAGCATTCATTGGTAATTCTTGCCTGACTCAGTATTGGCTATGAGGTTGACATATGATGGTTTTCCAATCCCAGCACTCCTTTTACATCTACCCATCAGCTTGTGGCATCCTACCATAAGGAAGATACTTTCTTCTCATTTTCCCCTGAATGGTTTATCCTTATTATTTTTCTGTTATTTTTATTCCTCAAATTGTCCCAGTTTTGGACAATGGGAGAACCTTCAAAGTAGGTTTCCATATTTTAATGACATGCCTTTATTAATTTTTGAACACTTTCCTATTTTTTCTGGCATAATTGGATATTTCTGGCTCATCTTGTACCTACCTACATTTGTGTAGGAATAAGCCATTCTCCAAGGAACCCTCATTCATTTCAGTGGTGAGTGATCATTACACAAGAATTGTGCTTTAGGTGTATTTAATCCTATGGAGGCATCTTTCTTTCTAAGCTTTTGGAGGAGATATAGCTAGGAAATACATGCATGTGTATGTGTGTGTGTGTATAGATGTGGAAGGAGTGCTGGGATTGGAAAACCATCATATTTCAACCATCACAGCCAATATTGAGTCAGGCAAGAATTACCAATTTTACACACACACACACACACACACACATATTCAGAAGTTCACATATACATACACACAGATACACTTTTGAAATCATGAATTTACATCTATTCCAATCCATTCTCACATGGCTCTTTACTGCACTCCCATATTCCATATTTGCAAACTCCTTCTTCCATAGTAAAAATACTGGCTTCTAACAACATCAACACATTTTCTTATTTGCTCAGTTGTATAATACACATGGAACAGTTTCATTGAGCCTCTATTCATGCCTGTAAAAATCACTCATATACCTAGTAATTCCACACCTAACTATCCAAACAAAAGGAAGCCATTATGTCCACAAACAGCCTTGTACAAGACTATTTATAGCAGATTTATTCATTGTAGCCCCAAACAGGAAACAATCCAATTGTTTTAAGGGAGTAATGGATAAACTCTGAAATAGTTAAGTAATGGAATACTACTATGCAATATAAAGGATCTTCTTTTTCTTTTTCTGCTTCATGCAACAGTATAAATGAATTTCAAAAACATTATGCTGATTTTAAAAGGCAAACAGAAAAGAACACATAATAAATGATTCCATAATGTTGCTTCCATTTATATGGCATTTGAGAACAAACAAAACTAATTTATAGGCCTACCTGGTGGTGCAAGGGGTTAAGCACTACACTATTAAGTAATCAGCAGCCTCTGCAGCAAGAGTACAATCCCCGGCCAGCCAGGGAGCAACCCACATGGCGCAGCAGACCTCTCCTGTCTCGCCCGCTGCTCCCCTCAGCAGTGTGTTTCAGTCAGTTTGCCTATTCTGTTCCCCACTCTGTCTCTGGTGAATCCTCTCACCCCTGCATCTCTGGTCTGTACTCCAGCTCTTGTATGCATAAATAAATAAATATTTTTTTTAAAAAAAACTAACTTATGGTGATAGAAACCAAATCACTACTTGCTTTTGGTGGATATAGGACAACATAGGAGTTTGAGCTGGAAGGGGCCTGAGAAAACTTTCTGACATTATGGAGATATCCTATATCTTGGCCAAGGTGTGATCTATATGGGTGCATGTGTTTGTCACAGTGAATTGAACACTTAATACTTGTGCATTTCACTGTCTATAAATTTCCCCTCAATTTAAAAAAATTGACTAGAGAAGAAGTGCCCTTTTATTTAAAATTAGGATTCCTAAGTTCAAAACAGTATCTTTTTGTTGTTGCTACATTTCTGATATGCCTCCCTCATTACTTTCCTAGCTGCTGGAGGTATTTGAATTTGCCACCCCTCATCAATAGATGTACTTCCTTTTGCAAATATACAAAGTGTGTGTGTGTGTATGTTTCAAATATACAAAATGTGGCATAGGTTACAATTTCACAGATAATTAAATGATATTATTAACTTTATCTGACCAATATACAAACTTTAATGTATATAATGTGAAAATGTTAAAACTTGAAACAATAAATTTTAATACTGAATTTTGGATTACTTATGAGTTTAGTCCTTTGCAAATTTAATCTATTTAGAGGAAAGCAAAAACAAGCAAACTTCAGTGTAGTCAGGCTTTGCGAATGGAAATAGTTGATTTCCAACGTCAGTTGACCATATATCATTTCAACAAGGAACTGATTTTCTTAGACCTTCTCATAAATCCTGGTGCAGACCACACCCTTCATCTTACATTCCTTAAAAAAAAAAAGAGAGAGATTAATTGCATATATAAAACTCAAAGTTTCTCAAAGGAACAGCAAGTTTATAATGAAAAAAAAAAACTCATAGGATTAAACTTAGAAAGGAATAAAATATCAGTATGTCAAACTCTAACAATTTAAGAATTATAGGGCCTCCCTGGTGGCGCAGCGGTTGAGCGCTGGGTTGAGAAGCTGCCCGCAGCCTCTGCTGCGCCAGTTCGATCCCTGGCTGCTCCCCGGCCACCGGAGGAGGGTCCCACATGGCGCGCAGACCTCTCCTGCCGCCCGCTGCTCCCCTCAGCAGTGTATTTCGGTCCTTCTGCCTGCTCTGCTCCCTGCTCTGGCTCTGGTGAATTCTCTCACCCTCCCGCGCTTCTGACTGTACCCAGTGCATGTATAAAAACAAAAACAAACAAACAAATAAATAAAAACATGCCTCTTAAAAAAAAAAAAAAAGAATTATAACTAAAACTAATCCATGCTACTGCAGAAGAATTTTTTCTGTGGCAAGGCTTTATGCATAATTTCTATGCATTTAAATCTACTAAAGCAATGATTTTCAAAACTATCTGCACATTTGCATTATCAAGGGAACATTTAAAAAAACTGGTGGTTACTATCCCAAGACTTTTACGTGCAATTGATCTGTGTTAAAGATTGGTATTTACTCCCCAGGTAAACCTATTGTGGTACTAAGAATAAGAATCTCTGTTCTAAAGGAAAAAAAAAAAAACAATCCAAACAGTACATGAATCTATTTTTATTCAATGTATGAGTTAATATTAAGCACAGAACCCAAAACAATAAAGTCATTAGAATTCATCTTTTATAACCTTTGTCATTATTCTTATCTGTTGACTAAAATAAGTCTAGGATGAGTTCAGCTTGAATTACTGACATAGTTTAATCCAAGTTGCTAAGATTCTTAAAGCAAAACCAGTATAGATAACTATAGACACCGCAAATATTCTACGAGTCATTCATAATTTGGCTTGCTTTTAAAATTTAGACTTGTCTTATGAAATATAGTACAGATATTTCTCAAAGTAATAAGATAGATATACCATTTGAGCCAGCAATTCTTTTCCTAGATATTTAGGCAAAGAATGGGGGAAAACCCCATTAATTCCAAAAGATATATATAGTCCTGCGTTCATTACAGCACTCTTTATAATAGCCAAGTTACAGAAACAATCGAAGTGCAGAGTTTAGAGGAGTGGATTAGAATGCCCCCTCCACACACACACATCCCATGGAATACTACTCAACTATAAAAAAAAAAAATGAGGGGCCTCCCTTATGGTGCAAGGGATTAAATGCAGCACTGTGTAGCTAACTGCAGCCACTGCAGCATGAGTTCAATCCCCAGTCACAAAGCTAAGCCACATGGCACATCAGACCTCTCCTGTCTTGCCTACTGCTCCCCCCACAGTGTATTTCAGTACATCTGCCTGTTCTGCTCCCCACTTTGTCTCTGGTGAAAAACCCCCGCATTTCTGGCCTGCACTCCAGTTCTTGTATGCATAAATAAATAAATCTTTTAAAAAAATAAAATGAACTCTTGCCATTCATTATGGCAGATGGAACTGAAAGAGATAATGGATAATTCTAAGAGAAATGAATCCAAAGGAGAAAGATAAATACCGATATTTTAATACACATATATAGATATGAAATGTCTATATATGGAATATAGGGAAACAAACAAAAGGTATAAATGAAACCAAGCCAGTAACAAACTCTAGAAATCTGACTGCGTAATTGAGGCTGCAAGAGAGGGAGGGGGTACCACAGATTATGGTAGAGGACTACAGGTGCGTTGGTGGTAGGTGTGGCCTGGTGCCATGTAGCTGAGGAGGTGTGACCCCATGCCAGTGAATCACATACAGTGCTGTAAATCAATGTTACCTAACAGAAAACACACTTAAACTTGCTTTTCATGAGTTCACTAGTGAGGTTTACCCATACTTTCTTTAAATTTACCACCATTTTTTGATGTTGTATTTTTAAAATAAGTTTTATTATTTCTAAAATTTTGAACCTATATTTGAAGTATAGTAGATGAGTCTTTATGAGTTAAATATCACCCAAACACGAACTCCTACTTTATTTTTAGACTTTTTTTTGCATTACAAAAAAATAGTTTGAAATTAATATAACTAATATCTCTATTTAAATAACATTATTTATGTACTTAGAAGTGAAAACACTCTTACCACTACCATTTTCCCATCCATCAACATTCTCTTTATTGTTGTTTCTTTGCCATCCCATTTCTGCACTTGATTCAATGAACCCCTTGCCAAGGTCACAGTGGTCTGGAAAGACAAGTTTACATAATTGAGTGGCTTTAGCTTTGGTTGATGAAGAAGCAGTCCATTCACAATTGTTTTTCATATAGGTTTCTCATGAAGCACATTCATTTTTAACAGAATAGAATAGTCCACTCTTTTGAGCCCTGTAAGGAGTCCTTCTATCTCTCAAGTGGTAGACTGAGCCAACTTTGAAGAGAAACATTAAAGTTTACCTTTGTTTTCCTATTGTCAGCTGTGGTTTCTTCAAATTCCTGGCCTAACTTGAAGGAGATCTCTGTATTTTTAAAGGTACTTTCAGTTCTTATAGTTATAATATCCCCTTTCTTGCTGATGATCACAGTGGGTTTGGCCAAATTTCCCAGCTTTCTGGTTGCTAAACCCACACCTGAAAATCAAAACAATGTTAGAATTTTGTTGATCAAAAGAATGAATCTAGAGAGATTACAAGTGGCTACAGTCTATGCTCACAGGCACCCAGGTGTGTAAATGGCAGTAGTATCACTTACTACTGAAGATCCCCCATGATTTACCACCTGCTGGATATACATGTCCATGGAATAAACTATTTTAGGTTTTGTTATTGCAAGAGTAATGTTGGCAATGGGCCTCCCCGGTGGTGCAGCGGTTGAGCGCTGGGTTGTGAAGCTGCCCGCAGCCTCTGCGGCACCAGTTCGATCCCCGGCTGCTCCCCGGCCACCGGAGGAGGGTCCCACATGGTGCGCAGACCTCTCCTGCCGCCCGCTGCTCCCCTCAGCAGTGTACTTCGGTCCTTCTGCCTGCTCTGCTCCCCGCTCTGGCTCTGGTGAATTCTCTCACCCTCCCGCGCTTCTGACTGTACCCAGTGCATGTATAAACAAACAAACAAACAAATAAATAAATAAATAAAACATGCCTCTATTAAAAAAAAAAAACAGAAAAAAGAGTAATGTTGGCAAATTTTAAAGATAAAAGCACTCAGACTAAGTAGTCCAAGTTTCCCATTTTTACCACATCTGATCTCAAGTTCCATTGAAAATTGCCAACTAAACCAACCCTTGAAAGCTGACCAAAGATCTGAGGCTTCTAGGAGGAGAGGGGTAGGGGGAAGGAGAACAGGAGGGGAGAAAAGGGTGGGGAAGGGAAGGAGAGCACAATGGACTATGGAGGAGGACTGTGGGTGCTTTCGTGGAGGGAGAACTATGGTGACCACACCTGAGGGGTGAAATTCTATATTGTGAAAAAAATTAACAAAGATGTAAAATAATGATACTTCATTAAAAAGAAAAGAAATTTGCTAACTATAGTTTTGTATAGATCGTTCTAGACATTTAGACATTTTAGACATTCTAGACATTTTAGTTTGTACATGTAAATATTAAAGATATATTTTAAAATGAGACCTTATTATATACACTTTTCCATGACTCTTCCCCCCAATCATATGTTATGGATATAGAAAAGAACTCCCCTCACATCCTTGATGGAATCTCACTTCTGAAATTGTTGTTCCTAAGTCTAGCTAGTAGAAAATAATTATCTAGCTACTTTCAAGATCTTGGCAGTTCAAATGACTATAGATTCATAAAATGATTTTTTTCTGCATTTGGAGAAAATTAGACTTAAGTTTTATTACTATTACCCAAGACTATAGGAATACATAGAAAACAGAAACATCTAATGAGGTTAATATGTAGCAAAACAAAAACTAGTTACATATGTATGTGTATATATTTATATATACATTTATTTCTACAAAGTAAAAAAGGAAGCATTACAACCAATAAAAAATTGGGAACCAATCTTCTAATTCTGACTAATCTTTTGTTGTACATGATTTAGAATAATTTTTATCAAACTAAATGATAATATCTGCAGTAGATCCTGAGGATCTATATTCTGCTAACCCCTCAAGTGTTCTTCTATACTCTAATATTGGAAATGACAGAAGTGGGGAGTATTTCATTGGGGATTTCTATTATTTTGCTTCTTCCTTACATGTTAGGTGTAGTCTATAAATGTAACCAATAGTATGGGTCTCTTCCCATAACTTCTCATAGTTTCCCAGGAAACATGAAATGATTCTTCTCATTTTTATCTAAAATAGAGCCTTTCTCACACACTTTCTGAACAGATAAGTAAAGCTATAAGCACTTCAACAAGCATGGTAAACTGAGATCACTGACAACACTATTGCATCAAAGAACTCTAAATTTCTAAACTGTTCACACCTATTGTGCTTATAGCTATGGAACATTCCCTGGAGATTGTATAAAATAAAGTTTATGTACCTAATGCTTGGTGTTTCTATATTCAGTCACTGTTCCAACTCCAGGAAAATCTGATGTTAGTGTACCTGAGTTTGAATTCACTGCCATGCCCCACATCTAACTTCCCTACCTGATGGATATCCTGCTTTAGGACACATTTCCTTTTCACAAACTCTCTAATATGTAAGTAATATTAGAGACAACCTAGAGATAGAGTTAGTTAAACATAAAATTTTAAATGAGAAGTTTTCTATTATCTTGAATATATTTAACTCCTTAATTATGAGCACTTTAGTTGTTCTAATACTACTTTTCAGGAAATCCAGAGTATGGGTTCACTAAATTTCTAAGACTTCTCCAAAGCCTTAAAACCAAAACTGTATTGATATGAAACTGCCCTTGAAATCAGTGGGAGTTCATGCATTTGAGCAACTCCTGATTAGCTTAAAACTGCTGCAAACAAATGATCAGAATGTCAAAATATTAATGTCAAAAATATTAATCCCAGAATAGTATTGTACTTCAAACTTCCCAACTCCTGAAAAAAGGAATTAGAAGGAAATATTCCCCATAACTTTCTCAAAAAGGGTTTTCTCAATCAGAACAAGAAAGAACATTTCTTACCCAGAGCCTTCATATAATCATCAAAGTGCTCACTAGAGACAAGTTTCCAGGTGCCCAGAAATTTGTTGTTCATTCTGATGGATGAAAATTCAACACAGTTCTGGTTGGAGTCAGGAAACTGAAATGTAATGACAAAGCCTCGGAAGATTCTTTTCAAATATGTCTAAATCATGTGACTCTCAGGGAGAACCAATGAGGAAATGCAGTGTCAGGAGTGGGCAATGAATGGCTCTTCAATAATCCATTAGGACAAAAGAAAGTTCCACATAATGCTTCCGTTAGTCTCCAAAAATTTTTATAAAAATCTATGAGAATACTATTTGAAACTTCAAAATAATTTGGATTGATCTTATACTTTTAGGAAATGTTTATATCCTTAATGCTTTGAGGGAAAAAAGTTTTTGAATTGAGTCCTGTACCAAGCAAATTATATAAGCATGAATAAATGAATGAATGGTGTGTGTGTGTTTAGGCATCTTGCTAACTTTCAATCCTGAATCTGCACAATTAAGTATTCTTATTGAAAAGGGGACGAGAAAATGTCCATGAGTTTTGTGATAACAGCCTCAAATATGTTGTGGGAGAGAAAAGCAGGGGGGGCAGTGTGAGGAAGTATTCATAGGTAAGGGAGGCTTGGCATAGTTCACATATCCTAGGCAAGCAGAGTAGGCAGAAAATTACTGCAGAGAACAGAAATTGTATTCATGGGATGGACAAGAAGTAGCACTATAGCATGCTCTTTGGCCGTAACTAAAGATTTTCATCTAAAAAAATTCCAATTCTAAATTAAGCAGTTTCCTAGTCAATGCAGCAACTTTAAAGTCCTTTAAAAGAAATCTTCAGTCTTATAAGGAGAAAGGATTTCTATAAAAATAACACAAATGTATACTGAGAGTCATTATCGGCAGTGCCCAGAAATTCAACAAATTTCTGGGTACCAGTCACTGTGTAAGGACTTAACACAAATTTTCTTTTACCTAATCCTTTCAACAAATCCAGTAATAGATATTACTACATCTATATAAACAATGAGAAAACTGGAGCTCAGGAGATCAGGTAGCTTGCTTCCAAAATTTGAATAGGGAGAAGAAAGTTTCAACCTGGCCTTGTTCCCCAGTACCTAGACCAGACAATTATCTACATTGCTTTAGTTCACCAAATGTGCACAGATGTTCTTATCCAATGTCAGTGAATATTATATCACTATGACTACATGGACATACTCATTCTCTACTCAAAATCAAGAGCTGAGGTAACCAGGCTATGGTACATCGGAGCCCCAGTTTTTGTTGAGGGAGAGCAAATATAAAATCACTGCAAATATTAGTGTTGCTTTTACCATTCCTTTTCCTAGCAGGTTTTCCTCTCTGACATTATTCCTGGCTGTGAGACAGCTGATATCACCAGGTGGTGTATATTTAGTGGACAGATACACACTCTTCACAACAATGAAAATATCTCATGGTCACTTTGCTCATAACAGGTAGAATCCCAGACCTTTGGGCTCAGGTTTTAGTGCCATAGCTGTGTCATAACCATTGCAGATATGTGATTCAAGCTGGGTCAAAAGTGTGGACCCATATCCAGTGGGTCCAAGTCTCATCTTACATACTCATACCTTGATAACTCAAAGTGGGAATGAACTACTGAATAGAAAATTCTTCAGCTAACCAGTTAACCCAAACCCAGGCCTAAGGGAATGTAACTGGAGGGAGAAGGGAGTAGTACACTGTACTGGGATAGAAAAGCAACTGTAAAATAATGTGCTTTTTCTTAATGGATGTGCTCTTTTCTTATCCAAAACATTTAATAAAAATGAAGATGGTATCACTTGTGCTTTAAAAAGAAATTTGTCAACCCCTTTTTATTGAGTGTTTTGCCTAAATTGGGAAAGATTTTCAAATCCCTTTCCCTCTCTCATATTTAGAACGACCTGTGTATATTATCAGCTGTCCTTGTGTTGCACATAAAAATAGCCAAGAAGTTTGAAATATAAATATTTAACTACATGTTAGCAAGGGAGAAAGCTTAAAACTTGGAAGAAATTTTAGACAAAGGATTTTTTTTCTATTTTAAGCTTGTCAGTGACGTATGTGTCACTGGGGTTGGCCAGATGTGCTTGGATTGAGATGAAATTCTGAGGTCCACGTTTGAGTCAACGGCATGGATCAAAGCAATGAGAGAAGATCTACAGTGACCCAGGCTTGAGACACTGATATTAAGTCACTCCTAAGAAAGTCATTAATAACCTGGTGAGACAGGATAAAGAAGGACCATATTATAACTAACACACACATTTAGACTTGAACTAAATATTCTTAAAATGGTTATAATCTCTCTATAGTGTGGGTTAGGTTTTTCTCCTTTCAAAGATTTTTACCTACCTAAGTTCTCAAGCTATTTGAACCTTACACTAAAAAGAACAGCTAAAGTTTCAAACAACATAAATCAGAAAAGCTTGTTGTGTATAACAAGTCATGTAAATAGCTCTTATATTTGTCTTCAAGCTACATCCATTGGCATATTTCAGGAAAGCAATAGTCAATCATTCTATGGGAATTAGAAAAGAATTCATGACCTCTCACTTGGATACCAAAGGTCTGATTCCATTCCTTTCACTCATGGAATTGCAACCTATTTATTACTTGCTACTGAAGTGCCAGGTACCATTGAAAAGTTCTCATTAAAAATCAGTGGACAAAATCCCATGCCTTTATGGTACTTACATTTTATTTATGATCTGATAAATATTTAAAATGAGGTCTTAATTCTAGAGAGTCTGAAACTATTTGTAATATAGAAATATTTCAATACTAACAAGTGGCAGTGAAGATACACCATTTACTACTAGGAGGAATAACCAATAAAAGTCATTGTTTTCTTCTCAATAATTAAGAAAATAATATTCAAAATGAACTTTAGAAGTTTCATTTGATAAGGAAATAAAGCTAAAAATCCAACTGTGACTTCTGAAAAATAAGGACAAAATTGAAAAAAAAAATCATTAGGGCATCAGAGAGATTAAAAGGAAAAAAAATTAAGGGTCTAGGACTTGGATGAAAAAGGAAAAGTTGGAGAAATAAGTGCACTGTTTGGGACTGTTGCCCCTTTAGAGATCTATGAATTTGGCAAGAGGCAAGTGAGAGGCATAAGTAAGTCTAACATTTATGCCAAGGCTATAGGGTTAGGGCAACAAGGAGGGGGACTCCTGGTTAATCATCACACTTTGGTTTGGCTCTTTAAGAATCTGCACATAGGAGTAAAGATGAACTGGGAATAGATCTGTGCTTGAGTCAATTCAATTCTTAAAATCAGTTTAATGTGATCTGGGAGAGATAGTGAGCACAGAGACCTGCCAGAAACAAACATAAACTCTCTTCAAAAGAAAATAACGTCACCTATATCTAAACTTATTTTTATGATTTTTCAGAGGCATAGCTAGCCAAAAAGAAAGGGAACAAGGTGGGCCTCCCCCATGGTGCAGCGGGTTGAGTTCAGTGCTATGAGGCTGTCTACAACCTTTGCAGCGTGGGTTCGATTCTCGGCCTACCAGGGAGATTCCCACATGGCACAGCAGACCTCTCCTATCTTGCCTGCTGCTCCCCTCAGCAGTGTTTCAGTCCTTCTGCCTGTTCTGCTCCCGGCTCTGTCTCTGGTGGATTCTCTCATTCTCCCTCACCTCTGACCTGTACCCCAGTGCTTGTATAAATAATAAATCTTAACAAAAAAAAAGAAGGAAAAGCAGAAAAATTAAAATTACAAGGAATATGTATTTTACAAGCTAATACAAAGAAAACAGAAATAGAAGATCCATAGGGCAGATATTAACTAATATAAATAAGTATATGATAGGAAGTGTAGTCAGAAACAAAAGTTTTTTTAAAAGAAATAAAATTGATAAACTCTTAGCAAGATGGATTTTTAAAGTAGAGAAAAAAATTTATTGTAGAAATAAAGGGCACACCAACATATACTACAGTTATTAAAATGATCATTAGAAATATGAACTCTTCAATAAATTTAAAAACAAAGAAATTTACAAATTCCTGAGAAAAAGTAATTTGCCAAAAATGACACCAGAAAAAATGTGAATACTCCCAAATCTATTAACATTCTTTCTATAAGGAAAATCTCTCCTACAAAGATACTTCAAAGTTAGAGTCTTTACCATGTAACTGTGCAACGCACGATGACCATAATATTCTCCTGAACTTTCTTCTCCTTCCTCTCCCTTCCCTCTTCCTTCCCTGTATCATACAGTGAAGGTCTGGAAAGAGCAAAGGCTATGAATCATACCTAACTGTGAAACTTATTTATAAGTTCTATTCCTTCATTTGGCTGTCCAGTGGCAAAAGTGGTATTTTCCATGTTTGAGATTCCATGATCTTATTGCAACACTGAGAAAACACATGTTAGATAATTGCAAGATAGTGCAAGATTGTAGATATTCTCACCAGTATGTATGCAGACAATTATTCAATACTTCTTTGTTGAACTGTGATAACTAAGAGCATGCTTTGTCTTTATGCGGCAGATGGCAGAACCCATTTAGAGAGTATAGTTTTGAGGTTCGGGGGTGTCCTTCAGTCTGTCCTCTAACAGTCTGAATTTTTATTAGTTCATATTTGTTCCCTATGAAATAAAACTACACACACACACACAGAGTCATATTTTTCACTATGTTTTGTGAGTGAATTTAAGGGATTCCTTTCTGCCATCAGCAATAAGGAAGCAATTGACTGAGTCCTAAATGTATTTCCAGTGGTTCTTTGCGCAAAAGCCTGAAAAGTATAACTTCCTTTGTAAGATGAGCAAGACTGCAGCCATTTTGAGAAATAACTGTCATCTCAAAAGGGCACAGCTAGTTTTGTTTCGGGGCAAAAACCACAAGCCAAGGGTAAATGAAACCTAGCTGGCACCGTGAGAGCTATCCAATCAGGGTGGACCCTGCCCCAGGTGTGAAAAGTCCCCGCATCCTGTCAACAAAGTACAAAACAGCTGGTCGCTCTGGGAGGGGGTCCCTCTCTTAACCTGATGAGACTGCTGTGTCAGTACTCCAGGCAGAGTTGGGCCCTAGCTTAAGCTAACAATAAAGCCTTTTTGCTTTTGCATCTCTGGC